CCCCTCTCTTCTTCTTCTTCTTCCTCTCTTCTCAATCACCATGTATGACTCAAAATCTTCTTTTCACCCTGCTCTTGTTGTATCCAACATCAAGAACCATGTTCCCATCACTCTTGAGATGGAGAACGTACAATATTTCACATGGGCGAAACTCTTTAAGATTCACTCACGATCCCATAGAGTAATTGACCATATTATTCCTCCGGCAAAGGGCAAGGAGAAACTGCCTAAAACAGAGGAGGAGAAAGAGCTTTGGTCGACTCTTGACGCTACCGTTCTACAGTGGATTTACGCCACTATATCTCATGATCTTTTACATACAATTCTTGAACCTGACACCACGGCAATGGAGGCTTGGAATGGATTGCGTGACATATTCCAGGATAACAAACGCTCTCGTGCCATCACCCTTGAGTACAACTTCACTCATGTGAACATGGAAGATTTTCCAAATGTCTCTGCCTATTGTCAGCATCTCAAATCTCTGTTGGACCAACTCAAGAATGTCGGCTCTCCTGTCAACAACAATAGACTGGTTCTTCAACTGGTCTCTGGCCTCACCGAGCCCTACAAAGGTGTGGCCACTCTTATTCGCCAATGTGATCCTTTACCCCTATTTTATCAAGCTCGTTCGATGCTCACTCTTGAAGAGGCCGGTCTTGCTAAGAAGGCGGCACATAGCTCTTCATCCGCCATGGTTGCTCGTGATTCGAATGGATCTCATATTTCTGATCATTCCTCTTCGATCCGCAATACTAATGGTGGGAAGAGGAACCAAAACCGCAACAATAATGGAGAAAAAAATCGCAATAACAATGATGGTCGTGGAGGCAACAAAGGTGGTACAGGCGGTGGGGGTAAGACCGAAGGTGGTGGTCAGATGGGCGGCGACAAAAGCCGCGGTGGTGGACAGCAGCCAGCAGGACAACATCCTCCGACCAATGCTTCATGGTCTGGCGGACAGTCGTGGCCCTGGATGGCACCTTGGGCTCCTTGGGCTATACCTCCTTGTCCATATCCATCAAATTCATGGGCCAAGCCCAATTATGGACAGCAGCAGAAACCGCACCCTCATATACTTGGGACCAGACCCCAGCAGGCCTACACGACAGCTCCAACTCCAACCGACATTGAAGTCGCAATGCATACTCTTGGTATCACTCCTCCGGATGCAAATTGGTACATGGACACCGGTGCCACTTCTCACATGACATCTGCACAAGGTAACCTCACGTCTTATTTTAATATAAGCAATAAATGTGGTATAATGGTTGGTAATGGTCAACCAATTCCAATTCATGGCTATGGTCACACTAAATTATCTTTCCCCTGTCCTCCCTTACAATTAAATAATGTCCTTCATGCCCCTCACCTTGTTAAAAATTTGGTGTCAATTAGAAAATTTACAACTGATAACTCTGTCTCTGTTGAATTTGATCCCTTTGGATTTCCTGTGAAGGATTTTCAGACGGGGAGACCAGTAATGAGGTGTGAAAGTCGGGGCAAGCTTTATCCCATCACAAATCCAAGAGCTTTTCCATCTACCTTTGCCGCTTTAGCACCATCCCTTTGGCATGATCGTTTGGGTCACCCGGGAGCACCTGTTTTGAACTCCCTTAGGAAGAATAAATTGATTGAATGTAATCAAATTAAAGACTCTCGTATTTGTCATTCGTGTCCTCTTGGAAAACATGTTAAGTTGTCATTTTATGCTTCAAATTCTAGCACTATTATGCCATTTGATATTATACATAGTGATCTTTGGACGTCACTTGTTTTGAGTTCGTCAGGTCATCGATATTATGTCTTGTTCGTGGATGATCATTCCAAATTTTGTGGACATTTCCTTTATCGCAAAAATCACAAACTTTTTCCACATTTTTGAATTTCAAGACCTTTATTTGAACCCAATTTGAGCGGGACATAAAGAATATACAATGTGATACTGCCCCCTTTTGGGAATTTTGTAAAGCAAATGATCTTTCGTTTCGTCTTTCATGTCCTCATACATCCCCTCAAAATGGGAAAGCCGAAAGACAAATCCATACGATCAACAACATTGTTCGTACCTTATTGGCCCATGCTTCCCTTCCTCCTTCCTTTTGGCATCATGCATTGCAAATGGCAACTTACCTTCTCAATATCCTTCCTCATAAGCTATTAAACTATCAATCTCCTCTTCGCATTCTTTATCAAAAGGATCCGTCTTATTCTCATCTTCGGGTGTTTATGTTATCCTCTTATTCCCTCTACAATCATAAACAAACTTTAACCCCGGTCAACTCCTTGTGTTTTTTTGGGGTATCCTCCAAATCATCGTGGGTATAAATGCTTTGATTTGTCATCTAGAAAAATCATCATTACCCGTCACGTAATATTTGATGAGACGCACTTTCCCATTGCAAAGTTACATACTCCTCAAAATCACACTTATAAGTTTCTAGACGATGGCCATCTCCCTACCTGGTCCATCATTTCACTACCTCACTAAATTAAACCCACAGGTTGCACCCCTTCCTAACTCACCTGAGCCCACCTCGCCCAACCTAGCGAGTGGATCCGTCTTGCCCAGCGAGCAGCACGGCGTTCCCCAGCCTGCTGGGCCAAGCCCATCTCCTCTTCTTCTTTCTGTGTTAAAGAAAGAGAGTTGCAGAATCCCAAGCTTTCATTTTTACTAGTTTTTTCTTGCTGGGTAAGTGTCTTTTTTTCCTTCATCTGTGATTGTTACTCTTTAGGGGTGCAACCATTTTCCAAACCTTGCTTGAATGTGGGAAGTTAAGTGAAAATTGTTGTATGTTATTAAAAAAAATAAAAAATTGATGAAGTTGCTACCCTCAGCAGCGAGGAAATAAAAAAATTCTAATGAAATCGCTGCCCCAATAGTGATTTTAAGAAAATAACTTTTTTACATAGCGTTAACGGGTTAAATTTGAGCAAGGATATCGCTATCCTATAATCGAACTTGTCCGTTTTGGTATTTTAAAAAAGTCAGTGGCCCTTTATGCATTTTGAAAGAAAAAAAGTGGCTCTTTTGACTCCGGACTCCATAAAAGACATTCATTATAATACAATATATTTATAATACTCCTCCTTGGATGTATATTTGATAAATTATATGTCTCATTAAAACCTTACTATAGAAAATTCAGTGGAAAAAACTCTAGTGAAAAAAAAAAAGAGTACACATATCTAATACTCCCTCTGTCCCTAATTATTTGTCCACATTTCCTTTTTTAGTTGTCCCTAATTACTTGTCCATTTTGACAAATCAAGAAAAGAAATTTTTTTTTACCCATTGTACCCTCAATTAATAACTTTGAAAATGGTAAAAATAGTTTTTAATTCATCCACTTCATAATTAATAGGGGTAAAATGGTAAACTCATTATATCAATTATTGTTTTCTTAATAGGCCGGTGTGCCAATTTAAAAGTGGACAAGTAATTAGGGACAGAGGGAGTAATAGGCATTTTGGATGTCTCATTAAAACATTACAAGGAAAAATCCAATGGGACAAAATCTTGTGAAGGAAAAAAGGTACAACACGTATTAACTCCCCCTAATGCGAACATTAATTCAAATTCTTGAATTTTCGCATTCCAAACTTGCGCATCATCCTCTCGAAAGTTATAGTTGGTAGAGTCTTGGTGAATAAATCAGTCATATTATTACTTGAACGAATTTATTGCACTTTGATACCACATTTGTATGTAGAAAATCTTTGGCAGGATGTGTTTCCTTCTATCTCCTTTAATGAATCATCCCTTCATGATCAAAGGATTCTGCAAATTCCTCACTTCAACTTCTTTAAGCAATCATCTATTATCTTTTGAAAATTATTCAAGAGTTCAATTCAAGTTATTAACTCTCATAACAATATTAAAAATTCTTAGTTGATTTAATTCATATGAGGATTATAAACAATTTTTTCAAAAACTTGCTTATGTTTTAGATTTTGAATCTTTTAAGAATTTTCATATAAATTTTGTCAAGTGACAACATTCAATATTAAATGTATGATATTTTCTAGTAACTAGACTGAAAATCAAATAAGCTTTACGCTTACCAAGTTACATCATTCTACTTTTAAATTGATAACCATTTCTACGTCAGTATGCTTTAATAGACGTAGAATTCAGATTCTCATAATCATTAACAATATTGCACTATATTGTATTAAAGATATCACCGATAATATATCAATTTTTTCGGTTCACAGTGCGACATAACTTATTGAGATATTATTACTTCATTATTCTTAGGTACTTATTCCTCCCATAAGGTTTCATGAAGTGTTATGTCGTAGGCTCTTCAAGAGCGCAATGCCTCCTTATTATGACCATTTTAATCTGAAATATTTTCCAAAAAAAAAAATTTTAAAAAAAATTGACGGGTTGGCCTAGGTGGGGGTGGCGTAAAAAATGAAAAATTTAAAGTTTAAATATTTTCCAAATATTTTTTTAAAAAAATTGATGGCAGTGGAGGGGGTAGGGTGGGGTGGCGGGTGGCTTAAAAATGATTTTTTTTTAAAAAATTGAAATATTTTCCAAAAATGATTTTTCTTAATTTTTTTTTACAGGGGTGGCATAAAAGATAAAAAACTAATTTAAATCTGAAATATTTTTAAAAATATTTTTTTTAAAAAAGATCATATGTATAAATTTATATAACTGTGGATTCTATATAGATTACCCTTATATAGATTACCCTTATATAGAAGGGAGAGTTGTGAAGGACGAACATGGCTGCAAAAGTTGTACCGTTGGCTGCAGAGTTGTGAAGGACGAACATGGCTGCAAAAGTTGTACCGTTGGCTGCAGAGTTGTGAAGGACGAACATGGCTGCAAAAGTTGTACCGTTGGCTGCAAAAGTTATACCGTGCAATTCCAACAAATAGACAAGTAAGGGCATTTTCGTAATTTCAAGGCATAAATTGGTACTTCTTTCATAAGCCACGTGTTATTGCTTAGTGCAGCTTTTTTCCAATAGTTAACTTATTCGCACTTTCTCCATTTCATTCTAGGTTATTCTTGGTGAAGCTCTTGAAATTGTAGAGAAAATACTATCAAACGTTCTTAATTTCTTTGGCTTTTTCTCTATTTTGTCTATTTATTTACAGGAACTTAATAAATTTTGCGCTTTGCCATTGTTGAAATTTCCAAACACGCAGAAAGAGCAAATACAGTTCAGGTAACAATCTCTTTTCCAAGTTCAAATTTGAGTCGTATCATGTATGTGTGATTATTGCTCTGTTTCAGCTTCTCCTTGGGTTGTATCATGTATGTTTAAATGACAGTTGAGAGGGACTAACATAGGATAAGCAAATTCAACAAAAAGTACTTTTTCCAACTTTCGCTTTGTTCTTCACCCTTCTCATGGTTTCTCTGTCTTTAGTATTGATTATTTGTCGGTTTTCTCTCAATCCCTCCTCTTTCTCCATTTTTATTATTTTCATGAGTTTTTCTATTTGGAATCTCAAATTTCACCGCTTCTTACTTGATTGTTCATCCTTCTAATTGTGTGCTCTTTGTGTTGGTGCATATTTTTCGCAATTATTTTTGTTATTAGTTTACTTTCTTTGATTGTAATCATCATTACAACTTTTAGATGGTTTCTAATTAGATTTTATACATGTATATAAAAAAAAAAAATCTAATTTACTCATGCATGTAAGGTCTCTTTTATAAATTTAATTTTTCCTTTGCGCTGTTAAAATCTATGTATTAGATGTGCCTTTTTTCTTTTTATTCTAACAAATATACAAAGATGTACTCTGTAGTTGCAACAACTAATTTAACTGAGGCACATAAGGTGTTTGATAGTATGCCTAATCTAACTAAAAAAATTTATTGCTTTTTTCCACAGATTTTCTACAACGTATTCCTTTGTGCGTGAATGATACAAAGGTACATGATTTGTTTCTGCTAGACGTGTGTTGTTTATATATTTTTTCCCAAGAAATACATTTGAAAGATCTATCCTTTATTTGCATCTATTTCAATTGTAAGTTGTTGCTATTAGTTTAACTTTGTGTCAGCGAAAAAAACTTAGATATAGTGTGCAGTTTTTCAGCATTCAATGAAACTGTAAATATTATTTTTTGTTATAACAAGATCAAAAATTGCTCGAAATAAGAATGTCAACATACAAAGGCATTACATAGATTTCAAAAGACTAAGGACATCGACTGGATGATAGAGTAATGGGATGGCGTACTAGATATGTCACAATTCACCCGAACAACTTCAAACTAAAAGAGCTTAATATAAAAAAATGATGCCTTTTATATCATTCAAAAAACTTAGTACCTACTCAACCTGAAAAAATGAAATGCCCTTAAAATAATTGATCCTTAATCAGTTTCTGAGAAAGGTCAGGAAAGTATATTATTTTCTTCGTTCTCAAACACATTCCTATATAAACAAACTTATTTCTGTGAACCATCTATAGCTTTAACAAAATAATCTTTGCATGTTTCCTTTATTCACAAGAACAATATATATGATTCTCTAGACTAGACAGTAATATTATCTCTCTGTCTTATATGTGTTGTACGTATTTATAGCATTTCGACATCACATCTTCTTTTGTGACACAACAAATATTTTGAAATTTCACTTTTTCCTATTTGAATGGGACCTTATCCACTTTACTAGAGTTGTACGTTGTCGTTTCAAGTAGAAAAATCAAAATAAATTAATACACCTCCAAGGAATGAAGAATGTTCACCAAATATGAGCAGCCCCCATTGTGAAAGACGAAGAACCAGAGCATTTTCCTCGACAACTTAGTTGAATATTCCTCAGAAATCTTATTACACTTCTTTGTTGCTGTCAAATTTGTTAGTTTAAGGAGATACTACTGCTTCATGCCTCTGTAATTTCTAAAAAGGAGAAAGTCATCTATCGTTTTAAGTACCTTCTTAGGCTTTTTATATTTAAGGGTCTAAGAGGCAATACATTGAGCAGATCAAACTGTTAAGCTTCCCACTAGACGTAAATAATCGAATCAACACCAACCAATATATGAGTTATATGAGTGTTTTCTCTGAACAGTAATCCCCAGATCAGAATTGAAAGGACATACCAGCCTTCGAAGGATTATTAGACATTCCTTCATGTCAGGAGGAGGATAAGGAAAATATTATTTAATAGTCAACTTCTTAATGTTCATTTTACATGGTCTTTCTACAAGTATATACTTGACGCTAAATTGACATATCATGGTATCCATATTATGAATTTGCCGCTTGAGGTGCAGTTTTTTTGTGTGTATGTGTGTGATTATGGGCATTGTGATTAAACATTTGTTCTGCTCATATTTCTTTTTATGTATGAGAGGATATAAATGTTATTTAGACCTACATCCAGTGTTAATGCTAATGAAGAATAGTTGATACATTTTGAACGCAATGAGGTATCAGTTCTTCAGCGACAATTCAAATTTTAGTATTTTTGTTACTGAGGTTATAATTGCAATTTGTTTTATGAAAGTAATTGATTATGGACTAATCCTGAAGCAAATAAGCAACAGAATGTCACTTGGTTGCTGAGAATTAGGTGATAACTGTTAGCCACTCTCTGTTAAATGTATTTTTTAAAGGATTCAGCGAGGATCTAATCTTTATTTTTCTCGACAAGGAACTTAAGTTGGTAATTAGCAATTGTCCAGATATCGATCAGATTTTTCATTATAATCTTATTTGTTAATTCATGTGGTAATCCTATCTTTGATAGTTTTCCGTCAATATAAAGAAAGAGATGTTTCTTGTGTTCAATCTTTTCCTTGCTTTGTAGTTGATGACTTGAGGCAAATACAAAATCTTCTGCATATAGTGCAATATCATCTATTATTAATTTGTTCGAAAAAATTGTTTCAGATTTAAGCAAGAAAAATAAAGTTTGTCTTCTCCATTTTATCTCCAAGACCTCGAAGGTAGTTTGCAGCTTTCATTTGATTACAGCTACATGTTATATCTCCTGCAAACGTCTAACAAATTTTTGTCAACTTTTTCAGGTGTCGTTTGAAAGGGTTTATTCACTGCAAGAAATTTCAAGCTCCAAGAAACTTTAGACCCACAATAATTACACCACTCCTGATCAATTACCTACAACACAAATGTGATAATTATTTTATCATCTGGAATTAGACTATGATTGAACTCTTGATGTTGAAGATTTCTACCAATGAAAGATATGTATTGCTCCTCTCCAAGTTACTTAACCTCTTTTTGTACCATCTTAATTTACTTGTATATGTATTTCTTAAAATACCAGTGAAGTTCATGTTGCTTCTTTGTCCAAATTGACTTCTCTAGCTTTTTTTTTCCTATGTGCATATTTAATTTATAATATTGAAAGCTTCACAGGTGATCTTAGTAAAAAAAAATTATGTTTACACCACTACTATCATTTATATTTATTGATTGATGATGAGAGTGACATTGTAACTCTCTTCATTTGCTTTTATTTTCTAGGTTCTGAGATGGTAGACGAGGAAACAAAAAGAAAATAAGTACTTTATGAACATGATCTGTACACTAGACATAGTCCTATAATCATTTATCTTAGTTGAAACATATGTATTATGTATTTATATCAAGCATGTTCTAACAGAGGATGGTTGCGGTTAAGACTTGAGAGATTGAATTGATAATATGGAGTCTCAAGAGTCTTTTTGAGAATTAAGAGCTAACTAATAGCATTTTCATTTTTGTAAAAAGGTAGAACATAATGTGTCAGCTGATACGCTTAGTTCATAAGTTCAAGAAATTCTTTAAGTTATTCGTAATTGTCTATGTTGTGTTCACACGGTTTTTAGTCCAAATGTTCAACTTCGAGTCCTTTTGATGCTTTTGCTTTGTCTTTTGAGGTTTCTCAAACATGTAATTGTATCTTTTGGTGTATGAAGTATGCTGTGAAACCTTACAGGTTAGTTGTTCACAAGACAAAGTTCTAACTATTTCATTCTGAAGACTTCTTGAGAGAATAAAAACGATGCATAATCAAGTTGTCATGTTGGGCCCGTGCGATGCACGGGCTTTTTACTCCTTATTAGAAGTGACACTTAGATGGACGAACACAACTATACATATTTGTACAACAACCAATAAAGATAGTACTTTTAAAGTAGCAACATTCAATATGAACCCTTCAATTTTTATTTTCTGTACACGTGTCTACCTTTTCGTTCGGGGGGAAGACAACTGTTTTCCACTTCTATATGCTCCTTTTTATTACTCTTATTTCTAAGGAGAGTTAGAAGGACTAACACTGCATTAAATTAGTTGTACAACGTCCAAACAATTTTGTACATTAATTTTTAACTTTATTAAATTAATTGTACAGCGTGCAAAAAAAAATCTACATTTTAACTTTTTAGAAATGACAGTTGGAAGTACCTACGTGTCTAATAGCCAATCAAATAAGCCCACAAAGCCCAAACTATTGGTGTTGACATAAAGTAATATAGACTAATAAGATAAAATTACGAAATTATCCTTAAAAAAACAACCAAAAGGACTAACACAGCATGAAATAATTGTACTATAAGTTATGAAAATTGTACATTAACTTGGGCTTATTTTACTTTTTTTCAGTGCTTTACATAATTGGACTAAAAGCAATATAAGATGTGCTTCAACATAGCCTCTTGAATAATGTACTGATACATACACGTGTTCATTAGATGTAAATTCAGCTGTCCTATAAGCTAAATATATTATTAGTTCTTCCACATTGCTTTGGTTCTTCTTCTTTCTTCACTCCTCTTTCATATCTGATTGTTCTATGTTTAATTAAAAGGGAAAATTAATCAAAATGGCCATTCAGTGATAATTATAACTCAAAATAGTTTAATTATGGGATTTCTGTCATTACTATTCATCCGACACATTAATTTGTCATTATATATTGAAATAATATATTTATCTTTCCTTAATCATAATAAAATTATAATTTAACATTTATTTTTCTGAAATGATAATTTTATTTTAATTCCCCACAACATATTGTTTACTATATTGAATGTAATTATAATAAAACATATTGTATTTAGTATGACAAAAGAACTCAAAAAATTGATAAATTAGATAAAATAGTAATCTTAGCTTCTAAGAAATGTCACATCATGATTTACATATCCAACTTTATATATATAATAAAAAAAGAGTTAAAAAAGAAAAAATAAGTGATTTAACAAAATTATATAAATAACATTAATGATGAGATGAAGATTAAGAAAAAATGTCAAATGAATTAGTAGTATTGATGATGATAAAAGTTAAATAAATCATTTTTTCTATTATTTAAATTTTTAACATAAATTTTCAGATCTTTTAAATTAAAAATAAAAAAAATTCGACGCAATAATTATTTTAAAGAAAAATATAACCAAAATTGTCAGAAAAAATTGATAAGAATAAATAAGTATCTATTACTAAGAATGGTGTCACTACATTTTCTATTTTAACTTTATTGTTACATATGGATAGAAACTTTTACAAGAAGAAATGATCCAAAAATTAAAAATAATGATTCCTTAAGTGGTGATTCCTTTTCCATTTACAGCTTTTCAATTAATTTTTTAATGTATTAAATATGGTTATGGATATTATAATAATATTTTTAGCTTTCCTTAATCATAATAAATTATATTTTAACCTTTATTTTTGTGAAATGATAATTTTCTTTTCATTCGCACAACATATTGATTAATATATTAAATGTAATTATAATAAAACATGTTGTATTTAGTATGACAAAAGAATTCAAAAATTTTAAAAATTAAATAAATAGTAATCCTAACTTCTAAGAAATGTCACAAATATATATATATATATAT